TGGGAGGGCAAGAGAGAATTGGTGGGATCAGGTGAGCTTTATTTCATTTTTCTCATCAATTTGACTCCCGCAAAAGCATTTTTTCTGCACTTCCCTTGTTAACTTTACAAATGTATTGTGAGAACACAAAGTGATACAGAGATGTGAACAGGACCATAAAGAACGTTAAGTTTTTAAAAAGTAGCCATTTGGAATATAACTTATTCTCCATTGTTGTTGCTCTCCATCTTTAAATTAGCAACTGTAAAACATCCATACATTTGTCATAAGAAACAAGTACCACAAGGAAGATCTAGTCACAAGCATATAAGGCTTTAAGAAGAAGTTAGATTCACGGAGGACTGGTCGATCAGTGGCTACTAGCCATGGTAACTCAAGGGAAACTCTGCAGACAGAAGCAGCAAACCCCTGAATCCCAGAGCCAGGAGGCAACATCAAGGGAGGCCTTGGCTTCTGTGCCTTGTTGTTGGACCCCTAGAGGAACTGGTTGGCCCTTGTGTGAGATAGGGTTGCCAGATCATAGAATCATAGAATGTTAGAGTTGGAAGAGACCTTGCAGTCCAACCCCCTGAACTCTGCAGGAGTATACTGAAAGATAGCCCTACATACCTACAACATACCCGAAAGATGGTCGTCCAGCCTCTGCTTGAAAATGTCCAGCGGAGGAGCATCCACCACCTCCCGAGGCAGACTGTTCCACTGCTCAACCACTCTTACAGTTAGGAAGTTACCTTGTACCAGCGGGGGGTGGGAGGCAGCTTTCAGGGAGGGGCAGGGCAAGATCCCTGACATGATGACATCACATGGATGTGATGTGATCATGTTGGGGACATCACATAGCAACGCTCTGGTTTTTGGGCAAACTCTATGGAAAATTGGGCTCAAACCATAGAGTTTCACCCAAAAATCAGTGTGTAACTGCACGATGGCCCCGGTGTGATGATGTCACTTCCACATCACATTAGGGACATTGCATGGGGTCATAGGTGTTGAGGGCAGGGCTTGCCCCACCAGCCAGTTGGCTGGCGGCGGGCAGGAACCCATGAAATCAGGGACTCCCTTGCTCCCACCTGGGGACTGGAACAAAAAGGAAACTGTGTACTAAATATAAAGATAGCCTTAAACAATAATATGGAGATACTCAACAAAATCAGTACCAAGAATATGTCTTTACAAGAGGGGACCCGCAATAAAATGTTGCATAATGTGTTGTGACTCCCTGTGCTAGGACAAAAATCTGTGAGCTGGAGGCTAAAAAGCTGTAGCTAGCTCACACTAACTCAGCTTAGAGGGAACACTGGTGGCCGCAGTCCAGAGAAACCCCACAGTTTAAAAGTAATGACTAAACTACTGTAACTCAACACTACAGCTGATCTACGCAATACCACTTTGGTCAGGATGAGGCATCAAAGAGCAGCGTTGCTGGGAGGGGGAGCTACATTTGAAGCCTCTGCCATTCCCACTCTGTTGGCATTCCAATGCAGGGAACTGGCCATGCTGACCCACCTCTGGGCAAAATCCCTCTGTTCCAGACTTCTTTGCAAAGGGCAATGGAAAAGTTTGCTGGCTCTAGCATCTAGTATCTGAGAAGGAAATTTGGCACACACTCATACTCTTGCATTCTCCGAAGAAAAAAAGGTTTTCCTCCCTGCCCACTCTGTTTCCCCCCCCCTTCTATCAGTAAACCTAAAACTTAATTAGCTGGGAGGAGGTGGGGGAAGAAGAAGAGCGGAGGCACTGGGAACTTCTTTCGCCTGCTCCAGTTTCCCCGGTGGTGGGGTGGGGTGTATGTGCGCTTCCTTCTTGCAAAGTGGAAGGAGCTGCCCAATGAAGAGAGCTGAGAGCTGCTGCAGTTTGCTTTAAATCGCAACGTTGTCTGTTGGAGGCTTGAACGTTCGGTGGAGGGGGCGTGGCCATGGGGAGGACTCAGTGCAGTCAGAACAACAGGAGAGAGGGGGACGGGGAGAGAAGGCTCCTCCCCCTCTGCCCTGGTAAGTCTGTTCTCTATGCAGCTGCAGTGAAGTCTGTTTTACTTTCTGGCTTTTTAACTCCCCCTTCTATATTTTAAAGTTTTTAGATTTTTCTGCACACCTGGGAAGTAACACATGTACAGGATAATCTCTTTTTCCTCCATGCGGTCTCAATCTGCGGAAATAAGTATCCGCACAGAGAGGGGACCCTTGGCCATGAGTATATAGATTATAACACTCCAAAGATTTCATACATTACATAATACAACATTCAAAATAGAATCTGTTATATCAGAAACCTGTTAACACAATAAATCTATGCCGTTCACACAGGATACGCCTAATAGAAGACAGTTCAAATCCAATAGAACACGATTGTTAATGAAAAGATTCCAAGGTATTCTTTCAATATAACACAGTTCCTGATGAAAAGGTTCCAAAATGTTCTCTTCACGCGATGGTTAGCTGCAAATTACTGCGTTCCGCTGAAGCTTCAAAAGAAGAACCAATTCATAATGCTAGAGCATGTTCCGCCTGGCAAAGAGACCACTCAGCTGAGGCACAGCTACCCAAAGTGCAACGCTCCACACAGCAAACCAGCCAAGAACTATTTTCACATCTTGAGGGTCCGTCGAAGTTGACCAGCCGAGGGTCTAACATATCATAGTTTAAGGCTATCCTTATATTTAGTACACAGTTTCCTTTGTGTTCCACTTCCTACTTTGTATCTCCGGTTTGTCTTTGGTGTTCCAGCTGGCGACTGGCAACCCTAGTGTGAGACAGGATGCCGGACTAGCATACTTCCAAACATCATATTGACTTTCCAAAACTGTTAGTAATAAAGATGTATAGTCTTCTGGTTCATAGGGCTGAGAAACAAGAGGTTTAGTTACAGTATATGGCAGACTGTAATTTGAATTTGGACATATTTCCTCTTAAACACTGTGGGTTTCAGATACCTAATAGCCCATTTTAAGAGCTGCCCTGGTGAGGCAGTATTATTTAGACTGCAACCCTAAGGGTTTCCTGCTTGCTACAAACAGGATCATGCATTCACTTCTTGTGACATGTATTATTGTTTGCTTTCCTGCAGATAGTAGGCGTGGGCTGCAAGGTGCTTGAATCTTGATTGCCACTGCATCTATGCTAATTCACCTAGAAGCTGAATTTACAAAAAATTGTCAGTGACCTGTCTTATGATGACTTTTGCAATGCTGAAATGCCAGTGGTTCAATATTAGGGGTCCAAAACTGGCACAGGTTATTAGCCAACTTCTGGTAGTACTTCTCACCTCTGCTACATTCTTTCCCCCCAACTCATCTGTCACTTGTAAAGAACATGAAGATTTTTCTCATTTGTGTTGGGTATGGAGAAGGTACAAAACTGAACTAGAAACTTTCTCTAATCCAAATCACAAGTGTTAGGTTTTTTGTTGCTGTTCAGTCACACAGTCGAGTCCGACTCTTCGCGACCCCATGGACCAGGGAGAAGTGTAATGCTAAATGTCTTCTTTGCCACAGGGCCAAGGACTGGGCTTTTTTTTTTCTGGGGGAATGCACCAGAACGGAGTTCCAGAACTACTTCGACAAAATTCTTTTAAAAATGTTTAAAAGTTCATGAGTTTTCAGTATACAGGTTGAAAACTTCAATTCCCTCTTGAGAGTTCCGGCACCTCTTTAAAAAAAAAAAAAAAAAAAGCCCTGCCAAGGACAATTGCCCCTGATGAGCCAGCAGGTTTCTTTTTGGTTGGTTGCTTAGGAGACTAACCTAGGGATTAATCCTATTGAGTTACAATCCTTGAGAGGTGCGTAGAATTTGTAATTTATTTGAGATAATAAATGACATTCTAAACCTTGCTTCATAGGGGTTTTGTGTGGGTGGGGGTTAGCAGGGAAACATGATGAGCAGAGGTGTTCCACTCATAAGAACCAATGACATGTAATTTTCATAAGGCATATTTGTATTTAACATAGAGGGATGTTCTTTGATACCAAATTTCATTTAATTTAGCTTCTTCTAGTGTAATAATTGTGCTGATTAGTATCACCATTGAAATTAATTGTCTTATGAACTATAGGATTTTTTTCAGATTCCTGTCTGGTTTTGTTTGTGTATAGTTTGGTAGACATTGGTGACAGAAGTTTATCCTTGTAGTGGTGATATTTTCCATGAAGTCCTGGATAAGTTGAATTGCATAAGCATATTTAGGAACCTTTGTTTTTAACGTCCAAACTTTGAAGGAAATTTTACAATGTCATTTATTATGCCATTATATCTCAAGAATTTTAAGAACTCTTTACACTGAACTGTTAACATTTCCATCCTGGTCTTCATCAGAGAAGCTAAGAGCAGCATTTAGCATTACAACAAACGAGAGATTGTCACCTGCCCAAATTGCTTCACAGCAGAGATATGGAAAACTTTGAGTTTTCCATATCCAGGCTCTGCACTTTGATTTTCATTTCTACAAGGACACAGTGAGCAAATGAGAATGAGGAAATGTTATACATCCTTTGAAACCACACTGAAGTTATGGTTGTTTAAGATATTCTCCCCTCCTCCCAGTCTATAGCAGCATATATAGGGTAGACCTAAATCAATAAAGTACTATCTAGGATGGATTTGTCGTCCCCCCCCCCCATGCAGTCCCCTGTGGGGCTGTTTCTGCACCTGAAAAGGGGCATGGGGGGGGGACTACAAGCGCTTTTAAAATGGCGGCAGCTATGGGATAGATCCATGCCCTCTGTCAGTTGTAGTTTGACTCTAAGGAGCTGATCCATTTAACATATTTTTTTTTGTTTGATGCTCTACTGAGTTTGAATGCTGGGTTTTAATTACTTTTATGAGGTTTTATGGGTTTATGCTTTACTTTGTAAGCACCCTTGGGCAGGTTTCCTGGAGAGGCGACATAGAAATTTGTCAGATAAATAAATGTTAATATGCCATACTTAGAGAAGTTTGTTGGGATTTGTAGCTATTGTGACAATGTAATATAGTGCTTATAAGGAAATTGGTGTGTTGTCATTCTAGATACGAACAAGACAGTGGTCATGACAGTGGGAGTGAAGACATCTTTGTTGAGTCCTTGCAGCCTTTCACACTGGTAACTCTAGGCATGAAGAAGTTCTTTATTCCTAAGGCTTCCCTTGCTCCAGCTGCTCCCAAAGACTCTGTGAATAGAATTCTTCCCATGCCATCATGCATAGGAATCTGCCTTGACTGTGACAAAGGCAAAGTTGGATTCTACGATGCAGACCGGATGAAGTGTCTTTATGAGCGTCAGGTGGATTGCTCTGGCAAAATGTATCCAGCTTTTGCATTGATGGGGAGTGCAGGAGTTCATCTGGAAGAAACAATTGCAGCAAAATATTTGGAATACCAAGATGAAGACATGTGATGCCCAAGGTTCCATCCTTAGCCTAATGTCTTAATTACAAAGTGTCTCCTAAGTGCTTCGCTGCACAACTGCTTTTGAGTCTTTCTGTTTTTGTTATAATTGCAGAGAGAAGTTTCCATCTTTGCTAACTGTCTAGTCCTCAGGAAGGTCTTTCTGCACTCACTCATTCTGCCTTCTGGCATGCTGTGATCTTGGACACTGAAGAGTTTTCAGAAAACAACATGGGATTAGCACCCTCATTGCCTTTTCACAAGCTGGAATCCTGTCTGTCTAATTTAAATCCTTTCTTAGCTGGCACTGCTGGCATTCACATTCCATTTTTAAATGGAAACAGGACCCATACAATGGTTCATTTCTTATGGTTATACATTATGTACACCCCTCACTTCTAAAGGAGCCTATTTTGCTTTCTGTGAGTGGTCTGGTGTCTCAGTAAGAATCCCTTGGGTATCCGTAATGGATAATGTATTTTTCATCCATGCAAAGTACATTGTGAATCCATGCTATGGCTGTGTGCTGGTGACATCTGGGAGATGTATATTGAACATGGATTGATAAAAAGATACATGTATATGACTTCAGTACTATAGGTTATTTCCTATATACTGTATATTTAACTAAGTGCAATTTATCTTGAAACATCAGCCCTTGATGTTTAAAACTCTGTGTATGTAACAATATTTAGTCTTATGGGAGGAATAAAAACACAGGCACAAATAATAATATATAGGTTTTTTAAAGAAATGGAAGTGTCTGCAGTGTGATGTTGGTTCACTTTATACCATAACTTTGTAAAAAAAAAAGCCCATAAAAATAAAGAATTTTTAGTGTGTTTAGAATAAAGTGCACTGATAATTAAGTATGAGAAATTTTGCCTTAAGGTGTTATCGTATGTTAGCTAGAAAGCAATTCATCTATCCTTGTCTAAAACTCCATGTAGTCTGCTTAGCTTGTGGGAAATGTTCAAAAGCTGACTGGAAACACTGTTCGGACAGTTTTCTTTTAAAAACAAATGTATGTAGTTCATTTTTTTAAATGTTTAGAAGAATGTTGAACATGTAAGCAGGCTTTCAGAATTTGGTAGTCATTCTGGATCATCAACTACAGCCCCAAAATGTAATTTTAACTTCTGTTAACTAATAACTGACTTTGCCGTAACTTATTTATTGTATAGTGAAATGGTACTCCACTTGAAAGAGTCTGTGATCATAATTTAATCTTCAAGTAGCTTTGGACATGTTTGCTATTTCTGTATGCTACTGCTGGAATTAAAAATGTGACTAGTGCTGGGAATCCATGTAAGAAGTGGTGCTTTCCCTTCAGTTTAAGGGACCAGAGAAAAGTCTACACACTGGGCTTTGCAGAGGAGGTTACTGTCCACCCAAACAGAAAACTTCCCCCAGTTCAGTTATGCTGAGCTGCTCAGAAGGGTTTTGTTTTTTGTGTGTTTTTAAACAAACAAATTTCTACCTAAAGAAAGAGCACTTTATATACAGTCTAAGCTAAAATTTGTTAGATAATTCACCCTTTAGCTCCTACAGCTAATGAGCCTCTTAGTGTGACTACGGTGTGATCTGCAAAGCTCTATACACATGTACATCATGTCAGCAGTTTCCAAAATAATACTTAAAGCTTTAATACACCACAAGGCCTTGTTTGAAAGTATTGTGAAGTTGGAATGTAACTTTCTTGAGACTTTTTTTAAAAAAAATAAATGTTAAAAATAAAAATGCCTGTGTTATTACACCTTAACTGTCATAGAACCAAGTTGGTGTTGTTCACATGAGTGTCTTCCTTCATCTGGATTGTAGACCATCTGTCTTCCCTTCTAGTCGCAGGTAACCTGGCCTCATTCATCCATGCCTTTGCAACCTTCAGGTCAGATTACTATACTGCATTCTGCACACAGTTGCCCCTGAAAATGTAGCTTTAATTGTTACAAATTGTGGCCAGCCATCTTCTGGCTGGTGTTGGATGGCAAATGCATAGTCAGAATACTTTGGCTCTCCAACTGTTTGTGTGGTGCAGTAGTCAGAATGTTAAGGCAGGATCTGAGTGGCCCAGGTATGAATTCCCTCTCTGCCATGGAAGCTTGCTGGGTGACCTTGGGCCAGTCACACACACCCTCAGTTTAACCTATCACACCAGGTTGTTGTGATGATAAAGTAGAGAAGGGGGGAAATGTTGTAAGCCACTCTGGGTCCCCATTGGGAAGCCAAGCAGGGTATAAATGAAGTAAATTAAATAAACAACTTTCAAGTTAAGGTGCTTGTTTTTAACCTATAAAGCTCTTCATAGTCAAAGAACAGAAGGATCACTTCTCATCATGTGAACCCACGCACCAACTAAGGAGTGCCTAACAAGCCCTGCTGAGACTGCCTATTCACCAGATATGCACCATGACTGTTAGAGCACCTCCTTCTTGGTGGTGAGACATTTGGAATGGACTGCAATAGGAAAAATGCATAGCACCTTTAGCTTTGGGAAGGGTTTTAATGTTTTGTCAGTCATTACGTTAGTTGATATATTGAGTTCTGCATTTTCTGCTTTGTGATTTTGTTTGATATGAACTTTTGACTGGGCTGGAAAATTTACAAACACGGTAATGATAGTTGTTGGGATTTTTTTTTTAACATGGCTGGTTTTCCTACCTGAAAATATTTGCATTTAATGATATATTATTAGATTGGTGAACTATGGCACATCTGTTAAAGAGCTATTTTGTTAGAAAAACCTTTAGAATACTGTTGTTCAAGGGAGGGGGGAAATAAACCTTCAAATCCAATACATTTCTATGTAGCAGAACAATCCTTTAGATTGGAGATCAAATCTGAGACCTCCCGCATACACAGCAGATAGTCATAGAATCATAGAGTTGGAAGGGGCCATACAGACCATCTAGTCCAACCCCCTGCCCAGTGCAGGACAAATCTAAAGTATCTCTGACAAATATTCATCCAGCCTCTTCTTGAAAGCTGTCAGTGAAGGGGAGCTAACCACCTCTCTAGGCAGCTGATTCCACCTTTGAACCACTCTGACCATGAAAAGGTTTTTCCTAATATCCAGCCGATACCTTTCTGCATGCAATTTAAACCCGTAGCTTCGGTTCCTATCCTCTGCTGCCAACTGGAACCTTTCGTCATAGGGCTGTCTCCAGACCCCTGATCATCCTCATCGCTCTCTTCTGCACCCTCTCAATTTTGTCCACTTCCTTTTTGAAGTGAGGCCTCCAGAACTGCACACAGTACTCCAGGTGCAGCCTGACCAAGGCAGTAAACAGAGGGGCTATGACCTCCTGCAATTTCGATGCTATGGCCCTTTTAATACAACCCAAGACTGAATTTGCCTTTTTTGCCACCACATCAGACTGACTGCTCATATTTACCCCAAGATCTCTTTCGCATACACTACTGCCCAGAAATGTATCCCCCATCCAGTATTTGTGCTTGACATTTTTGTGGCCCAGATGTAATACTGTGCATTTGTCTTTGTTGAATTGCATCCTGTTCGCAGCTCTCCACTTCTCCAGAGTATTCTAGTCTTGTTGAATTTTAACTCTATTTTCTTGGGTGCTTGCTACTCCTCCCAATTTGGTATCATCAGCAAATTTAATGAGTAGCCCTTCTATGCCTTCATCCAGATCATTGATAAAAATATTGAAAAGCACTGGGCCCATAATCGAGCCCTGCGGCACCCCACTGGACACCTCCCTCCAATCTGATGTAATGCCATTGACCACCATTCTTTGGGTGTGGTCCTCTAACCAGTTCCCTATCCACTGAACTGTCCTATAGTCCAGCCCTCCCCCCCCTTCACAGTCCTCCCAATCAATAACACTATCTTGTGTCATACAATCTCTTCATACTCTTATTTTGTGTCTACTATCATTGTATCTCACTCCAAATTGTTGTGGAATATCAAAAGAATAGAAAGATGGAGAACACTCATTTAAGACATACATACAGGCCAGTATTACTTTTGTGGGTTCCCTTTGTTCATTAATCACAAGGAATCTCATCTAAGTCAGCTTTGATACAACTTTGAATAAATTGCATAATAGCTAATGCACAAGGGTACACTCTTTGTTACTCTGTTCATGAAATTATCAAATAAATTTCTACCCTACCCTTCAGTCTCTTAAGTGTTACAGCACAATCCTAAGAAAACTTACATCTTTCTAACGTGCTTAGTCATGTTAAGCACTCACAATATGAATTTTGAATATGGGAGGCAGGAATCAATATTTTCTCTTTCAAGAAATTAAGATACTCTGTTTCCCCTCTTAAGAGGAATATTGAGTTCATAGTTACTCAAGATTTTTTCATTTTACTAATGATACTGTCTAGTTAAGAAACAAAGTATTTCAGTTGGGTCTATGTATTTTCTGTCCTATAATCACAATTCACATCTACTCTTAGTAGCTTAAAGAACATTCCTAAACAGGTCTATTTAGAATATTCACTGCGGTTAATTCCCAGAATATAAGAGAAGCTATGTAGGATCAGGCCAGTGGCCCATCCAGTCCAACACTCTGATGGACCTCTGCTCCATATGTTTATCCAATCCCCTCTTGAACCTGTCTATGCTTGTAGTCGCTACCACTTCCTGCAGCAGTGAATTCCATGTCTTAATTACTCTTTGGGTGAAGAAGTACTTCTTTCTACCTGCTCTAAGCCTACTGCTCATTAATTTCATTCAGTGCCCACAAGTTCTTGTTATTGTGAGAAAGGGAGAAAAATACTTCTTTCTTTACCTTCTCTATCCCATATATCCATAGTTTTGTAAACCTCTGTCAGGTTACTGCTCAGTTGTCATTTCTCCAAGCTAAAGAGCCCTAACCTCTTTAACCTTTCTACATAGGAAAGTGTTCCATACCCTTAATTATTTTAGTTGCCCTTTTCTACACCTTGTCCAATGCTATAATATCTTTTTTGAGGTGCGGTGACCAGAACTGTACACAGTATTCCAAATGCAGCCACACCATAGATTTATAAAGGGGC